TTTTTTTTACGTGGAGGAAATCTTGCATAAGACACCCAGCCCGTGTTTCCGACCTGGGTAGTGTCGGATTCCTACCGACTAAAACCTCCACGGTGTCCTTCATCGTGGACGTTTTTTCGAGGCTGCGGGACCAAGATATTCTCCGCTGTCTCTTTTCTAATTGCCTTGCTGCTTCTTGTCTCTTTTTAATTTCCTTCCTTTCTGGGCTAAGATACTATAAAAGAAATTATAAAAATACTTCCTTATAGTTATCACAATGGTATTGCAACATGAAAATTATCTTAAAAGTATCGATCGTATCTGATCTCGAGACTTCATCGTATTCAGTCGTACGTTACATAAAACAAGCGCCGCGCTTGTTAAAATGCTGATCCAGCAACAAATCATATGCAAAAAGAAAAAGAAAAAGAAAAAAAAAAGAAGGAAAGAACAACGAAGAACACAGGAAAAGAAAGGAATCACGAATCTAGGTTGCCGAAGCAACTAGTGGAACGAGGTTCTTCCACCTGCGGCCGAAATGACGTCACCTAATTTCCTCCAGAAAAAAAGAAAACAACTTGCCGTCTAATAAAAACCAACATTATCGTCCTTTTATATGTCCAACAGTAATTTCTGTTTAATCGCTCGTACCGGAATTATATTTCCCCGGCGAACGAAGCGGCGTCGCTTCGGAAAATAAATTCGTGTAGGCCCGCCACGAGCACATGTCACACTGATTGCACATCCGCTTCCGCCGCCGTTAGAAGACTGCCGCGCCATTATAAAACCGGCCCCACGAAAGAAACATAATATTTATTGCCGGCTTCCGTTCAATTAGGGGTTGACACGGCGCGTCGCGACGAAAGGGAGAGGGTTCTCGCAGCGTCGAAAACCCTCCCCCCCTTCACCCCCCCCCCTCCCCTCACCCCCGAATCCTGTGTACCCCCGTGTCCGACCCGCCTTTCTCTGTCGCTTGTCGATGCTTTCGAAATCTATGTTCGCTTTCACCCGCCACGCGATGGGGTGTTCTGAATTTATATATTGTTCACCCTCTTCCGATTCGGGACGACACTCGCGAAATCGCTCGAGAGCCTTTCTTTTTCTCTCCCTCTCGCCCTGGCGTCGAAACGGGGTTGGAAACCTCGAGTGTCGAGAATGTGGCAAGGGGTTTGTAAATTACCGGTATTTTCCTCTTCGTTTCTCTCTCTTTCTTTGGTGCCTCCTTTATTTTTTTTTCTTTTCTTTTCTTTTTTTTTTACGTCGAGCGAATTGAATAAGATGATCGGAGATTCGCTCGGCGATTAGGGTGGGATAGGTGTTTTATTATATAAAGTGGGGCGTTTTTCAATTTTCTCAGTTGCGGCGTTTTTCTCTGTTGAAAAATATTTTTAATTATTGATTTACTAACATTTCTCAATAACATTCTATGTATCTTTAATTAATTTCCTTTTTTTTTTTCTTTTTTTTTGAACGTTAAGAAATAAATTTAATGTTTTATACATTAACAAGACAGTGTTCGTCGATGTTCAACGATTTAACAATTTTACAATTTACATTTTTGTTGTTTATAAATATATTACTCTCCATTAGTGCATCCTAGTCAACTCTTGCTTCCTCGATAAATTCAAATTCTACAATTATAATGTCGTACTATCAATCTAATTCTATTGACAATTTAAATTGCGCAACAAACTGATTTATTCAAAAATAGATGCGCCAAGTTGAGAGGCGAACTTATTTTTAAACATAGCTCTCTCTCGTACACGCAGCTCCGTTACATAATCAATATCTAACTCAATCTCGTACGTTATACATACCGTCCAATATTTAATAATAATCCACCAACGTGTATTAATAAACAGTAGAGTAATTTCATTATCGATTTATCTTGATCGATCCGCAATGAATGGCAATGAAGCATAATCTAACACGAAGGTCCCATGGTGTAATGGTTAGCACTCTGGACTTTGAATCCAGCGATCCGAGTTCAAATCTCGGTGGGACCTAGAATTTTTTTTTCTCTCTCTCCTCCTCATTCTTTTTTTTTTTTCTCTCCGCGCACCTACACACCATCGTTTCAACAATCTCGTCCTTTGTACTTTGTATTTTAAATTAATTTATTTCACAATCCCGCAGACACGAGTACGATCTACGCTTGTCCACTTGTTTATCTTTCTGCTGCATCATTTCGGTGGCAGCACAAAACGACAAACAGATACGAATCTACATACATAGCGAGCAATATTGTAATGCGTTTTCGTTGCTCGACACATTTATAAAAATGAGAGCGCATCTTACGTGTCGCGGCCGTCGAATCGACACGTGACGGCCGCGAAATCGCCGCGTGTCTCAGTCACGCTTAATCAGTAATTACGTAACGCGTAGTCGGGCGATAATTCATTTATTATACATGTAATTTGATAATCGACCCGTGCGTTATCGTTCGTTTTCCACGAAAGCAGTGGACATTGTCTCGCGTCGCGATGCCGAGGCTTATCTTCAATCACCACGTTCCGGCTACCTGGCGTGTAACTCGTCGATCAAAAATACACCGGTTCCCCCAATTACCGGATATATCAAGCCCTATCTCCATTCGGAACGTTGTAAGTAATTCGCCTGCCGATGACAGATTACCGCGCCGCTCAGAACGACGCGGCATTAAAGATTGATTAAAATTGTACAAATTACAGGCACGCGGGACCCTTCGATGACATTGTCCCGCCATTGATGCACATGGTGCGATTAGTATGTAGTTTCACCGGTTATTTTATCATCCAGGTTACAACGAAGTGAAAATGCCCGCGGCAAATCGACAGTGGAAAATGATAATGCGTTCGTTTTTATTTCCTGTAATTGGAGATAAATGTATGGTTGGATCGCGATGAGATTGAATGGATACGTAAAAAGAGACGTTTGTTGTAATTTCGACTTTCTCAGCGTTGGATTTTGAATTAATTTTGTAACAACGAAGTATTAAAGTGTATGATCCTCCGGTTTACTAAGAATTTGCAAAATGTAACTTTTCCTATGTATGAAGATGTAATTAGTAATTGTCGAGCTGTGAAAAAGTAAGAACTTACAAGTATTGGACGTTCACTAGTAGTTAAACTTTTTTTCATATATTACATAGTATATTATATGTTAATATATTAAATATATTATATTTTATATATTATATAGTTAAAATTTCTGATCGTTCGAAACGCGAAAAATTTCACGACACTGCAGACATTGTTACATAGATCGATTACTGCTGCTGAGAATCGCGTGACAGTGACAGTCTTGTTTCAGTTTTATTTTGTTCGAACAAAATTACAAGAAAGCAAATATTGTAAATATCACTGAATTATCCCATCGTTAAAAATGTTTCAGCAAAATTGAAAATACCACTAAACCCTTGGAAAAAGCAGTAAACTAAAGGTACCATCTAATCGCCACGGATTATTAACTACAGCAACTCGTCCGAAATTTAACGATGAAAAGTGCGAACGATTCACGCCCAATTATGCTTGCCATTCACGTGACACACGTGACCAATAATCTGGCCGGCTCTCGTTCGTACGACAAACATACGCGTAACATGTTCGCGAACTAACGTGGCCGATGCTCATCAATCACAATTACAAAACGCCAACGCGTATAGTAAAATCACACAAATTACACGTTCGCCGCTCTCGTCGGCCCGCTCTGGCGTGCACGCGAACGCATTATTACCGAGTGTTTCCTGGTATCAACATTAATCAACCGGCTGTCCATTCGGTATTTCCGTCCGAGGTTGTCGCATTGATTTCCATCCCCTTAAATCAGCCGTGGAAAAAAGAAAAAAAGCGAAATTTTCGTCTCGCAGTTCGACGTGAAACGTTATCGCGGGCACGTGTTCTGCTGCGTTTTCATTCGCCTGCGTGTGTATTTCGCAGACAGCGGTTTTAAGTTTCTACCGAAGTAGGCAGTACCTCTTGCCGAGTAGGCAGATTTCTTTGAGTAGACAGAATTTCTTTCTCGTTTGTTTTGGAAATAAATTTTCAGAAAGACTGTAAAACTGTTCATAAATTTTCTATCCCAATTTCATTGTCACTTTATAGTCGAAATTTGGTTTAATAGAAAGTGGTTTGAAAAAATGTAAAAGCATGGTTAAAGTAATTTTTTAAAAAATATCTCGTCTTTTAAAACAATCTCTGATAAAAGTCACGAGAAAAATTTCGAAAATCCAACTGGAATACACGTTCCTTTTTACTACAATTCAGAATTTGAATTGAATAAAATTTATTTAAATCTTTGAATTACAATAAAACCTTTTCTCTGTGAATTCAATTTGTACATATAATTGGAGTTAATCATACACTCATTCACTCATTCACGTTCACATAAGCGGATCCAATCAACAGAAGTTCGTTCAATCAACAGCCATTATCTAAAACTTCGTTCAAATAAATAGACCTGAGATTAAATAAATAGACATGAGATCAAATCCACAGATATTGAAAGAATTATCCAAAAGAAACAATTAACCAACAGAGATTCATTTAAATCACTGCCCAAAATTTCAAGTAGATTCTATATTGCGCACCGTACCAAATCCACAGGTGTTGAACCAATTCTCCAAAGACAATCAGACTGACGATCGGTTATGGTAATTCCAGTCTGTGAACGGGCAATCGGGAATAAATGGCGCGCGTAAGCGATCACCGGTCGTTAATCCGTGGAGAATGACCGATTTCGTAAATCAGATCCCCCTTCTTCGAAACTACAGAAGGACATAACAAAATCGAGAGGAGACCGAGACGATCGCAGGATCGTTGCCGAGAATCTGCGATCGTTACAGCAAGTTCATCAAGATGTGACAACGCCACCGTGAAACTGTCCCGCGCTCGTAAAATACTTTCTCAATTTAAATTTCACCCGGCGACGAACCCTTGGAAGTTTCCGGTTAACGAGCGGAACCCTCCCCCACGTAACTCGGCTCGACGATAAAATACCGGGCCCGACCGTAATGACGGGACGTGTAATCGAGAGCCACACGAGCCATCGTCTCTGACACTTTGCCCGCGGAATTGCGACTCGTCCGCGGATAGAGCATCCAGACAGAGCAGACGGTATCGGGTATAATCTCGTCACACCGCGTCCCAGAGATCGTTTCGGCATCTTCAGGAATCGCGCGATGTAATTTGATTTTTCGACGGGGTTCACGGTGATTTCTCAAGAGAGGTTTTGATTTTAGGCTCGTCTCTGTCGTTTCGCCTGCTTCCGCGAACGCGAAAGTTCATCTTTAGGTTTCATTTCATCGGCGTGTGAATGAAGTTCCTTGGAATGGAACCTCGCGGATTCCATTTTTTAACACTGCGCGCATTAAGTACACACTCGTACACATCAAAATTATGGTAGAACAAATTGGGAAAAATCTACCAGCATTTTACCAAATTTGAAATTTGCCTATTTTCTACGTCTTTGAAATAAGTATCACTATTATGGAAAATGAAACAGATTCTATCTAATCAGAGAGTCCATATTGACCAATCTAGACGTAGAAAATCTAATGAAACAATTGTTAATTTTACAATAGCATTGCTAGAAATTCAGAATTATTGAGAATTACATGACGATGCTGTAACGTTCAGGATTACTAGGAATTATAACACGCTCAATAACCGCTGAAAATCACGTTGGTGTAGTTCGTTGTATCGTAGTATTAAAAATAACCAAACTCTATTAATACCTCGTACATCGCAGATATTATATTAACAAATCAAACAGCGGTAATCCGTCTGAATAGAATGATCGTGCAATCATAAAATTAGTGAAAACATAATAATATACTGGAATAATTTACAAATGAATCTAATATAAAAAATTTACTTCCATGTACGTGCCATCATCCACTTTTCAAGATGTAAATCTCCATACTGTACAGTCACCGTACTATTTTTCAATATTCAGCACTGCGAAAGCAAGCTGAACGCAAACTGAAAACGTTTACAAACGCTGCCACGCGTCGCGTATAAACGATAGCGAAGTAACTTTATGCCGCGATTTAAGGAATACGCGGCGTGCTCATAAACCATTTCATAAAAGATTCCAGTCATAACTCGAACGGTATCGCATTTTATTTAATTGCCCCCGGTGGCTCTTACACGGCCCTAAAAAAGGGGAAACAGGCGAGCGGAGAGCTCGCGTGCATAATATTATTTATTGCCAAAGAAGCTGTTAAAGTTTAACGCCACCGGCGCGAAATTAAACGCGATAAAATGTTTCTTATCCAATCGTGTCGCGCCACCGACGTCTCCTCATGTCACGCTTGTTCCGCCAACGCTATCTCTCGCGGATAAGACGCGGCTTTATAACCGTCGACGACGTTTTCGCGCTTTCCCCTCCGATCGTTGCGACTATCAGATCGAAGATGTCGATCAGTTAACGCGATACTGATAAAAACCAGCTTCTGACTGACGTTGAAGTCTTCTCTAAATTCGCAGCTGAATCTGAAGGATTTAATATTGCTATATTATAAACGATTACATTACACGTGTACATTTATGCATACATCACATATTGTATGATTAATTGATGCTCTCTGATATCAACGAGAGAATGAAAAATTGTTTTACTTATTAAGTGTTGTAGAGAGCACATACCTTGGATGTTTCATATCTGTTTGTTTTTTTGCATCTACGTGTTTCCTGTATTCTTCAAACAATGCATAGAAGATTATATAATAATTCTTCACGATTCAGTAAGTATGTCACATTGAAAGAGATTGATGCACCTTATAGCTTCCAATTTTTGTAATTTTTATTCGAATTTGTTATCTATTGTAACTAGAAATATAGTAAGAATGAATAATTCTTTATATCCGTATTACTATTTTAGATATTAAAGAAAATTGCAGCATGAGTGAAAAATTAAAATTTAACGCAATACTATATTGAGTAGTTTAGCGCAGAAGTTGCTTCAGTTTACTTGCGCAGTTAAAAGATTAAAACACAGATCGAGTATATGCAAAAGTTACGCTTGCAATTGAAGCGAACGAAAACTACTCCGCGAGAGAGAAACGGAAAGAGACATCGACATCTTGGGTCGAATTTGTTATCTATTGTAACTAGAAATATAGTAAGAATGAATAATTCCTTATATATATATATATACACGTATTATTATTTTATATATTAAAGAAAATTACAGCGTGAGTGAAAAATTAAAATTTAACGCAATACTATATTGCGTAGTTTAGCGCAGAAGCTGCTTCAGTTTACTTGCGCAGTTAAAAGATTAAAACACAGATCGAGTATATGCAAAAGTTACGCTTGCAATTGAACCGAATGAAAATCACCCCGCGAGAGGGAAACGGAAGGAGACATCGACATCTCGGGTTAAGAAAACTTTGCATGTTTTTTAATAGTCGCGGGCCAATTTCCCCGGTCTCGCTATAAAAAAAATTCCTCCCCCCCCCCCCAAATTCTCGAGATTTATGAACCGTTGCGTCAATTATAATCCGTTTCATTCGAAACGCTTCTCTTCGTCTCGACAAACCTAACCCTTCGCGGATTCCTCCGGCGCACCCTTCAACTTATATCGTAAAAAGAGGGAACGATATTAGACGCTCTCCCTCCCGAGAACGTGCCGTTTGGGGAGCTGCAAACGAACCCGGGCTTTGGGGAACGTTTAAGTAAGACGCGAAATTTTTTATACGAGTGAAAAAAAAGCCTAGGACGGGGGCTCGTTCGTAAAACGTATCCCGCCGGATGGCCCGGAAATGGCCCCACCCCCTCCACCGTATCGAATGATTACCACCGGTGGAACGCGCAATGTCGCGATTTAACTGCCCCTTAAAAATTGTTTGTCTACGCGGCGTTTTAACAACGGCGATCCCTCGTCTATACGATCTCTCGTTTCGTCGTTCCCTCTCGTTTCCACGTTCCACCGTGTTTAAGGTGGATTTTAATGTATGCACCGAGTGGATGCTGTCTGATGAGCGAACGTTTAAAACGTTGAATGTTTGCAAGTAGAACGGCGATGGGGAGAAGGCACGGTAGGAGGAAATTGAGTTGTAAACGAAATGGTTTCGCGAGCAGCTTCTTGGAGGGCGAGAGGGATATATAATGCGCACGATGGTTTGTTAATAGTAATTTTTAATGGGTTGGGAAAGATGGAGCTTCTAGATGAGAAACTGCGTTTACGGAATAAGTGAATAGCCGTGATTTTGTTGGCGGTACGGTGTGATTGGATTGTATATAATACTAGTGCAATTCTGCGTAATATTTTTACGAAGTAATGGAATAGTTAGAATAATAATTTGTGCTGTTTCGCACCGATGTAGTCTAGTGATAATTTTCAAAGTTCAGTCAAAGATCATTCACTTAATAGAATATTGTTTTATATGTTGAGAAATAGTTGAACTTTTTTACAAAACTTTTGAAATGTTACGAATTGCACTTTATTGTTAATTGGTTCTGAGCTATTTATTTTACAAACCGTCTGAAAAATTTTATCATCGAAAAGAATAATAATTCAATAATATATTGTACATTACAATCGCTTAACGTTACATGTTAAATATTACATTATACATTATACGTATCGTGCAATCAATTTAACACAAATGTTCAATTTAATATTTTCTTTAAAATCTTACATTCAACTCCTGAGAACTTACTATTTTCCATTTCGATACTTCTATTATATATTCGTGTAGCCATTTGTTGTTCTCTATTTAATGAAACCCTTCGACTTTACATAGATCTGGATTCGAAAACTAGGTTAAGAATCTCTCTCCTTAGTAACAAAGAACAACGAAAAGATCGAGTACGAAATATCTGGAAATGTTATCAGTTAGACAAGTGATTTTATTAAAGAAACATCCCCCGATTGCATGCCGCGGATAAGCTCCGACCTCGATCTTCTTCATTTTCATTCAACGCGAATAAAAATCCGCCACGTCGGCGATACGGTTTTGTCTAAATTGCCGAATTCGTTGCTTCCAGGTCAACGTGGACATGCCTGGCCGAGATCCAGAACGAAATGCCAACGAATCGAAGAAGCGCTTGATTCTTTGCGTCTGACCATGACCTGAAAGACTCTACTTGCTTCGTTTCCGCTGAGAAATCACATGGCAACGAAATTGGAAGTTTTACGGGGACCTAGATTTTTCGTATCCTTGCAATCTTTTTTATAGCTCTAATTTTTTTCAATATTTTGGAATATTTTCCAATATTTTTTATAGCTCTATAATTTTAAAATTTTGATTTTTAACACACCTTTTGACACAAATAGTTTTGGAACTTTTATTTTCGATACATGTGGCTTTCGATTTTTATTTCTTATAATTCTTAGATTGTGCGTTACCGAAACGTCTGATTTTTAAATTACCTCGAGTTCATCCAAGTAATTAAGTGAAAATTATTATTCAGTCTGCTGTAGATCCGAAATTCTAAATAATAAATATATAGAAATTCAATCCGAGAGGAAACGTGCGAATCATTCCCAGATGAATGTTTTATTTTCGCGTGAAATAAAAAATTGAAAATCCTACCAGAATTCTATACGCGATACTGCGTTAAATATTTCTACAGTGAATTCTATATTATCTAGAAATCTAATCTCGAAATCACTCTTATCTAATTAATTAAATAACTATTATCAGATCAAATTTAGATTAGAGTTTTTGAACAGTGATACAATAAATCCAAAGGAAGATACATAAAATCAGGAAAATAGTAGATCAAGGTACAGAATTACTATTTTCGATGAAATGAAAAAAATCAAACAATATCAAATTACAAAATTACTTATTAATTAGTAAGTAAATAGTTAATTAATTAATACGTTCGGGGAGAGCGAAAGAGGGAACAAAATAATCCCGAATAGCCCACTTAATACACAAAAGCCTTCGCTTTCTTTCCCAAATTCCCGGCTAATTGAAAATCCCACGGTTCACCGAGGAGGAAAAATACGTTCCGCAGCGTTACAACAATCTCCTTTACACCGTGAGAACTGTCTCTGCAAATACGAGGCCCACGGGAGAATCCCTCATTAAACATTCGTCTCTCGTTAAAGCAGAACGCGATCTAGCTCCTTAATTCGGCGATGAGGAGTAATTAAGCGACGCCGAGGAACAGCGTCGCTGGCGAACAGGAGGCGAAGGACACGAATAGAGACGCCGAGGCACTTTGTTTCGCAGTAAACCCGGTTTAATGACTTCATGTAAAAATACCCCATCGACTTTACGATATAGCCTCCTCCTCCTCCTCCTCCTCCTCTCTTCTCTCTCCATTTTCATCCGTGTTCCGCTCTCGTCGCTTCCGTTCCACGTTTTCCACGTTGATCCTCCGTACTTCCACCTCACGGGGTCGGTAGGGTTTTTCGGTGTACGGTCATAATTTTATAGTTTTATGTAAACTGTATCGGGCCATCAAACACGCGGCGCTGTACGATGGCTTGATGGTGATTGGCGTGCAGCACGAGATAGAGAGAGGATTTCCACGGGGGGTATAAAATTTTCACGACGTTCAGTCTCGGCCGGCTTTGACACGCAATTCTTTTTCGTCCGCCGCCTCGAGACATCGTAAATAAGTGATAACTGGATCGCGGCACGATGGAACGCGTCGTCAGCGATCATACGCCTCGGGTTCCTTCCCGTTGTCCTGCTTCTTGATGTAGATGGAATTTTTTCGACGTCGGTGATAGGTGATAGAAAGAAGGCGAAGAAAAAGCCGGAATACCAAGGTCCTGGCGATTATTAAAATTGCGTTCGTCTTTGTTGAATGAAGGAGCTAGAAGATAGTTGAATTAATTTGATATTTCTTTATAATATTATATTACATTATATTTTGTATAATTTAATAATAATAATTTATTATTACATTTTCTATATTTTATATAATTTAATAATAATTTAATAATTATATTTAATTTTATATAATTTATATATTGCATTATATATTATATTATATTTATTATATAATTGACTTAATTTGATATTTCTTTATTATATTATATTACATTATATTTCGTATAATTTAATAATAATAATTTATTATTATATTATATATATTTTATATAATTTAATGATAATTTAATATATATAATAATAATTATATTTAATTTTATATAATTTATATTACATTATATATTATATTATATTTATTATATAATTGATTTAATTTGATATTAATGATATTATGAATTTAATTTCTTAATAACAGTTGAGAAGCTGTTTTAATCGAATGAATTTATTCAGTGTATTATTTTCGAGTGATTGAAAATTTTGGAGGATACAGCGAGAGAATGAAGTGCGACGAAATTTCTTACGTCTCGTCCAATTTACTCAGCTTCAAACTTAGCCAGCTTCGTGACAATCGGGAATTTCAGAACGAAGCGAGAAAGATATTAATTTATATTTCGTTAGAAAGATTCAGAAGTGAACTTGGTTGGAACAAAATTGTCAAAAGGCGATTGAGCAACTTATTCAATTTCACCCCTCTGAGCAAACTTTATCGAAGTGCGAAAGTATAGATTCGTGTAAGAGAAACACGCCAAGAGCAATGCTTCCTTTAGTTTAAGTGTAGTTCAAGCTGTGCAGATTATGGACATTTAATCGAATGAAGTTATTAGAGGGCAAGTACAATTTATTCAGCTCGATATCCCCTGATGGTTGCGAATTAGGGGTGGAATATACTGAGGGAGTAATATACTGAAGTTTGAACTGCACACGAAGGTCTGAGCATGACGAAACGTTCTTCGTTCGTGACATGGGTCAGGTGTTTCTACATATAGAAGCTTCGTTTGACCTAATTTCACTTTCGCTTCGCGTGAAATTAATAAGATGTAGTAGTTTTTAAAAAAATATTGGTCCTTTGTCACTGAAAATTTTCAGTCGAGTAATTGTTATTATTATTGCCAAGTTGGCGAATAATTGATTGAAAATTGTTACGAAGAGATATAGTACGACATATACTGAAAATAAGAAGCGTCTCTCAAATCCCTTCGATAGCTCAGTTGGTAGAGCGGTGGACTGTAGTTGGAAAGCAAAGTAATAACGGGTATCCATAGGTCGCTGGTTCGAATCCGGCTCGAAGGAATTATTTTTTTATTTTGTCGATTGCAACTTTCGATGAAATATTTAATTATAAATATTCCTCTCCGGTGTTTTTGATAATAAATATATATTTTGAAGTCGTTAATAATTTGTTAGAGGCATCGTACAATCTTGCGCAAGAATTTTTATGGCCATAAACGTGACGATTGTAAACTAAAAAAATTGACGAAAACAATGATAAAATTCATAAATTGAATCATAGGTCGATCAAAAATATTTTTTGAACGAAAATTCGAGTGAAAGTTCGAGTTTTAATATTTTTTCTATTGAAATCATTCGAAAAAATAATCGAAAATATTCACGAAACATTGTCCAATTCGAAGAATTAACAGCGACTTTTCTTCTAATGATAAAAAGAAGAATGATTGCAAAAGAAGAACAGGTCCCACCGAGATTTGAACTCGGATCGCTGGATTCAGAGTCCAGAGTGCTAACCATTACACCATGGGACCACTTGATAAGGGTAGTTTTTCCCACCCTTATTGCGGCCTCGCAGAAGTTTTTATAATTACAATAAGAATGATTAGAAAAAAAAAACTTTCTAAGGTGCCACCGAGATTTGAATTCTGATCGCTGGATTCAAGGTCCAGACTGTCAACTATTACATCAATTCGTTAACAATAGATTACACATATTGTCGATTGGTAAATATATATCATGCATTTATAATGACGTAATTAAAAAAATTTCTTTAGGTTCCACCGAGATTTGAACTCGGATCGCTGGATTCAAAGTCCAGAGTGCTAACCATTACACCATGGAACCTTACATATGATCGATTTTTTATTATTACGTCATATGGAAATTTTTATTTAATATATCGGTAATTTTATAAAATATCATTCCTTGTTTTTTTTTATACAAAACTCAATTTCTGAAACTCCGAATAATAATTCGAGTGTTGCTTTCAACTCGATAATGAAATAGTTGCCAATGTCTAAATTTGATTTCGTAAAACTTGTATTTTTATTTCTATATAATTTGTTTAGAAAATTTAATAAATTACATAACACGATATAAGGTTTAGTTTTGTAAATTTCCAATAAATTAACAATGAAAGTTCCAAAAATTATTGCGTTGCGACAGAAACAAATGATTCGTCGGCTTCAAAATTATTAACTTATCGTTTAAACTTTTCAAAATGTAAAAAAGAAGCGAAGGTTCCACCGAGATTTGAACTCGGATCGCTGGATTCAGAGTCCAGAGTGCTAACCATTACACCATGGAACCACTTAATATCATTGTTTTTATATATTTTTGACAATTTTCAGGGAGTTGTTTAACACGAGACAAATTATTTGATGCAGGAGACCAGAAATTGCAAAAAAGAATAGGTTCCACCGAGACTTGAACTCGGATCGCTGGATTCAAAGTCCAGAGTGCTTACCATTACACCATGGAACCTCTTGCTTAATTAACTTTTCATTATTATTGCTGTTGTTTAAATGTTTGCTGAATTTTATAATAAGTTACAGCAAGAATAAACGCAAAAATGTAGGTTCCACCGAGACTTGAACTCGGATCGCTGGATTCAAAGTCCAGAGTGCTTACCATTACACCATGGAACCTCTTATTTTTAATAATTTCGTATTTCACAATTATCAAATTTGCATTCGAGTTATCGAGTGGCCGTGCTGGTCACGGTTTACTAATCTTATCACGGCTTCAACTCTTCTTCAATTTACGTTCTACTTATCTACTTTGATTCTTGATTTCTTTTTTTAAATTATTATCAAAATTTTTTTACAATCCTGCAGTACTAAGTTAGTATTCACAACGATTTATATAAATCTAGAGAGCGAAATGACCCAAAAATATACCAAGTTCATTCGTACAATTTCATAGTTAAATTACATATTCTTTGAATTTTGCGCTACCTTGCAATTATTATCAATACTTATTTCGAACATAAAATCATTCCAATAAAATGAAACATATAACATTTAGTCTTCCTAAAACATATAATTTCTCAAATCATTATCTTTTAGACTACATGTTCTCCAGTCTTTCATCCCCTAGTGTACCAATCATTTCAACAGTGTTATTTAATTAATTTCAATCTAATTATTAAC